CACTTTGGTTGTCCAAAAGAATCTCAAGAAAAATGTAATTTAAAAAGTATATTGTTCTGTATACAAAGTGTACAGTGTACTCAGTCAGCAGGTTGACAGTTTTAGGAGCTGCTTGAGGAGAAATTCCTCATCCTCTTTGAAATAGAGATCAAAAATCTACATCCAACATCCATAAGATTTCTGCTTTCAGGTCAAACATTTTCATTTAAATAGGAGTAAACTGTGTACATGACCTTATTAAAAGTTACAGTTTAGTGTTCTGCTCGGTTTTAGCAGAGAACTTTAATCAGTCTTTTTCTCTTGGTTGTCCACCAACCAGGAGACAGGATCTGGTTGTCCGAAATGAAAATACGTCGTCTCGGACAACCTAAACAATGGTTATGTCTACCCCTGTCCAGTCAGGTCCCTGCACAACCTGACTGTATAAATAAAAAGAAAGGCGTCTGTGTCCAGATGTCTACACTGCATCACCTGAATCAATCCAGCTCTGTTCCAACTCAATCAGGTTCAAACGCTGCCTGTGCCCCACACAAGCCAGCTTTGTGCTGTGGCCTCTCTGCCCGCCAAACCTCTGCTTTCTTTATGTCCCAACACTCGACTCAATGAGTGCATTTATTCCCAGTGACCCGCAGAGTCCAACGGGGGTGTCTGGACAGGGTCTCCGTCCCTGAGAGTGCACAATGCTGTGTTGTAGCCCCTCACTGTTATTACTGCAAACTGCTAATGTGTGGGTTTGTCCACAACCGTGCCTCTTTGTGTTGTACACTACATCCAGACTGAGCAGCACAGCAGAAACTGAAGCTGCTCTCACTCCATAAAAAGGATCATTTCAGTCAAAYTTCACTTCGGTTTGCTTTTATTAAGAGTGCTAATGCACGAGCTCTGACACACCTTTATTCTTCTCTTTWTTCACTCTGCTGTCATCATGTCCCGAGGCTTCAAAAAAACATGCAAATCATACACGGAAACACGCAGCTCAATCGGGGATAGTGTGCGATGACTTTTGGTGGTGGTGTGTAGTGCAATTAGGAAGAAACACTCAAAAAAACAGCGAGAACAATGGATTTTYGATAAAACAAGTTTTCTTTGGAGCTCTACTCCTCGGCCACATCATGCAGAGTTTGAACAGGCCACAGGAGGGTGGACTTTACATGTCTGAGATGGCATTTTGATATTTTTATCACAATAATAAAAATATATTTACTATTAGTAGAGATTATGAGCAACCTAAACTTTCAAAACTTCATGGTTGTGTTGTTTTGTTGGCGTTTTTATTGTCTTTCACCCAGTGTGTGTCTTCCTGCTGCAGGACTTCAGTTTTCTCTCAAATCCCCTCACAGTGCACAGAGGGCACACCCACTGACTTCACGTATATGTTAGCTGAAATAATCATCTTCAAAACTGGATTGATTGATTGATTGATTGATTGATTGATTGATTGATTGATTGATTGATTGATTGATTGATCACTTGTCCTATCTTCTTGATAAAACATTGTAGAAACAAACAAACACGACCATCAGTTTTCTGCTGCTCAGGCTTCACGTGCTTGTTTGAAGCATATTTTTTAGTCTGTTTCCATCTGCCTCTATTAAGAGCGCTGTGAGGGAGTGAGAGACAAATGTGTGGTAACTATGGTGACCATAATAAGCCACTGTCAGAAGCTTTCAAAAAAAGTTTGATCTTGATTCTCTTAACACTTCTCATACAGTTACATGTATTTTTCCCTCATAATCTTGGATTACAAAGTTATGAGCTTTGGGCAGTAGTCACATGGATATAGTTGAAAAAAAAAACAACTTTAAAATGTTCTGATTTATAAATAAAGCCATTTTATGAGGAGAACATTTGTCACAGAGTTGGTAAAGTTTGTGTGACCAGTTTCAGCTCTGTGGTTGTTTGATTTGACCTGAATCAGGAGTTCTGAGTAAGTTCATCACTGTTTACCTAAAAGCTGGAGAGAAWGATGATTTTAGATTTGAGTGCTCATCATGAAGAGGTGGACTGTGCTCAGCCTGACCACCTGCTCTGACTTGGAGCCTGTATCTGGTCTCTGTTCTGAGCAACCAACCAAACACGTTGGATGAACACGTTGACTCTAACTTGGTCAAATATTAATAATAAATTCAATTAAACAATAAGTTTATAAATTTATTTTTACCTTTTTGAAGTTTCTGGGCAGAGTCCCGCCAGAATAAGCCAATGTTTTGTAGTTATAAACCTCCGAGGAGTTCGCCGGTACCTCCAACCTGCAGCTGTCCGACTTTGACGAAGGGAAATAAATGTCGTTGTCCTGAGATGCGGGTCCGGCGGGTCCAGCCTCCGGACCGCTGGAGTTCACCTTCTTGAGCCTCCTGAACGTCATTGTAGAGGAAAAATGAACAATAAACCTTCTCGTTGCCCTCCGAACAGAAGGAAGAACCAACTGAGAAAGATGTTGGGTCGAATCCCAGCTTCAACGTGGAGCAAACAAACCAAATAACTCCAGGCTGAGTGAGCGTGCCTTCATCAGCCCGGGGGGCGGAGACTTCACTGAGTGGAGCCAATTTGGTGCCTTCAGGTGCAGCTCGGACATTTCTCTTTCAGTATACTTCGTTTCAAATTAGAGGCTAAATTACATGTAAAACTATATCTTATATAGGGAAACATAAAAAGGATGAGCATGTAAACTTATAAACA